GGGCAGTGCCTCAATTTAATGTGCACTATTTCTGGCACTGCTTAGGCCCTAAGTCTCTCTTCATAGGGCATGGTTTCCAGATCTTTCACCATCCAGCCTCCGTTTAAAAACCTCCATAGGAGACCACACTCCAAGGGAGTGTATTCCACTGTCAAACAGCTCTTAATGTCAGGAAGTTCCTCCTGATGTTGAGGTGGAATCTCTTCCTGTAGTTTGAATCCATTGCTCCCGGTCCTATTCTCTGGAGCAGCAGAAAACAAGCTTGCTCCATCCTCAATATGACATCCCTACAGATATTTAAACAGGGCTATCATATTACTTAACCTTCTCTTCTCCAGGCTAAACATACTCAGCTCCTCATAAGGCATGATTTCCAGATTCTTCACTATTTTGATCTCCCTCCTCTGGACACACTCTGGTTCAAGTCGAGACAACCAGAAGTTGACCCCAAAGGTCACATCATTATGCTGGGGATAAGTTAGTGTGGGGCATCTATGGCATCTACTCGGAGCCACTAAAGTACATGGCAATGCCAAGTCACCAGTAAACATGGTGAGTTCATGAAACTAACCCTTTAATTACTCTTTTAAACACTCCGACTGGGGTTCAAGAGAGTTAAAGGATAAGAAAACTGGCATTCCTCTTGACATATGCGCCAGAGACCAGAGATCTTTGAGCACCCAACTCTGTTCTTTTACTTCTTTCCTGAGAAAATCTAGGTGGCAGGACTAATATTTTATATTAATATATGGTCTTTGTAATGAGGGTGTATTGATTATGGCTCCAACTTGGAAGACTTCGCCTCAAAAGTTCCATTAATGTGAGGGAGGTATGCACAGACACAGGCATTGGAGTCACTGCTGTGAAGAGCTGGGCCTAATCTACAAGTAAGATGTTAAGCGAAGCCCAGCTAAGTAAAATAAGGTTAATATTTAACCATTTCCTGGACAGTCATTGTTCATTAACGCTGAGTTACAAGAATGGAGTTTTCCATCTCCTCTCTGGAGAGAAAACCAGAACCTGAATTAGTATTCATCTTTCCAAATAATCCTGCCTCCAAAATGTAGACAACCTTCACTATTGATTTTAATGGGCTCAGGAATGTTTAGTTGAGGAAGAGAAGGAAATTATTATATAAAAGGATGGGAGATCTGGGCTGGAGGCCTTTACAGTATCCCTTTTCTTAGGAACACTCTCCCCATTAAGAATATCTTCATGAGAAGCTACACATGTCAAATCCATAGGATCCAAATAAGAAAAAACTGCTACTCTTGGGGCTCAAGAAAGCAAATGTGGTGTAATGCTTTGAGTGCTGGACTACAACTCAGGATGGAGACCAGGATTCACATCCCCACCAGGACATGGAAATCCATTAGGTGATCTTGAGCAAATCACACTCTCTCGGCCTCAGAAAAAGACAAAGTCAAACCTCCTCTGAGTAAATCTTGCCAAGAAAACGCCTTTCAGTTGCCATAAGTCAAAAGTGACTTGAAGGCACACAACAACTGGGGTGTAAATTCAAAAGATGTTTTGTACTTCTGTGGTGAAGAAAGTGGGATTACAGCAGGATCTTAAAGACTACATGGTTATGTGTAAGTACTTCTGATCAGAGATGTATGGATTTGGAATTCTCTCTGGTCAGCTAATCCTTTCATTCAAGTCTGGGAATCCTATGACCATCCAGATGTTTTTCAACTTTCAACTCTCATCAGTTCTAGCCAGCATTCCCAATGGTCACATGGTGGTTGTCTGCCTTCAAGTTGTTTAGGACTTATGGCGAACCTGTTACAAGTTTTCTTGATAACATTTGATCAGAGGGGCATTGTCTTTGTCTTATTCTGAGGCTGAGAGAATGTGACTTGCCCAGGTCACCCAGTGGGTTTCCATGAACTCTGGTCTCCAGAGTTGCAGTCCAGTGCTCAAACCACTACATGAACCACATTGGTTGTCAATAGTCAGGGCCACCCCTAAATAAGTATTTTGTCCCTCCCCCAATGACATTTCATGTCAGTTGCAATTTCCAGCATTGTGAAACACATTGAAAACCATTCATACCTAGGATATGATCTTATTTCTTTGGTAATTTTGCCTGTCCCTTTTCTTTGGAGGCCTAACCTCCATTGCTCAATGCTCAAGAGAAGATTTAAGTTGCTGCAATGTTGTTGTTTTTTTAAATGGAGATAGAAATAAAAAAAATCATGGGGAAGATCATAATTCTTATTTGGAGGGGGCAATGCCTT